AATTAAAATTTGAGTGGGACAATTGCCCCTATAAATACATGTACATTCGCTCATGTTACGAAGCAAAGATATTCGTCATGTCAGCGTCCGGAGTGTGAGAATCTGCCACTTATAAGGCTCATCATGTTTTGAATTAATATATAGGTAGGAATAAGTTCATTTTATATTGTCTCTAATTTATGTTTTTAAAATAGGGGCAGGAAAATTAATAAAAAATAAAAAAAATCAATTGTATAGCACACCTCTTATTTTAACAACAAATAATATATGCATATAAGTTAATTAACTTGATATAACCGCTCATTTTCTGCAATTTTCAATTAATCAAATCAGGAGAAATAATACTACTGATATATATGACAATTACAACATGTAAATGTACCAATAATCTTTGATTTAACCAAGAAGATGTAAGACCTGTTTATGCGGCTGGCTTTTAAAATGCACATGATTTTTCATGTGTTAAAAAAACATGACAGATAAGTTGTGATGGTCAAATACTAGGAATATGTGACCTTCACGCCAGATACAAAAAGGCCATAAATTTTTATATCAAATATATTTAAATACATTCAATCAAATATATTTAAATACTAGCTCTCGGCACGCCTATGAGCTTGCGAACGTTGCTAGGACTCGTGACACGAGAATCCAAATCCTACGACCAACGAGCAACTCCACGGTGCTGAAGCTTGAGCGCGAGTCCCTCAACGAGCAAGTATATGGCCGAGCACATGTCCCAAACATGCGACTTCACAAGTCCCCTTGCCTAGCTCCCGACTAAATGCACATTCATGCCCCTAGGTCGATCTAGCCTAGTCTCAATAAGTCTAGCCGTCGTGTAGTGCAAAGTTGGCCCGAGTGCTATGTCGAGCCAGATCGCTCTCAATTCCAACAAACTTTGAGCTACTTAATTAAAAATATTCCCCACATTTCAACTTATTTATAAATTAGAATAAATTCTTAGGGCATGATTGTTTATCAAATATTTCATCCTAAATATTTCATATTGGTTAACTATGGTTAAAGTTGAAAAAGTAGTGTGGTTAATTATTAGTGAGATTTAAAAAAATTATTAAAATACTATTTAAAATAAAATGATTAAAATTGATTTGATATAAAGTAGGAGATAAATGATGGAAATGATTGGTAGTTAAAATTATGTGAGTGGATGAATAGTGAATTAAAGTTGATGTGATGTGTAAGAATGATTGGTTTGTATTATTTAATTTTATAAATAATATTAAAGATAGTGGAATTGAGTTAAAGTTGAATTAGATATTTGAGTTAAAATATTTTTGATGAAATATTTGATAAACAATCATGCTCTTATTTATCCTAATTTTTTTTTTTGAATTTTTTATTTATATAAAATAAAACCGTAAAAAAAGGTAAAATACCATTTTTTTTCTTACAATGATCTGAAATTTTACCTTAATGTATTAATTGACATTCATATATCCTCCATCTGTATGTGTAACACAATTTCATGGTCCACCATTAGACAAAATTGCAAAATATGTCCCCTATTTTGGGATAAATTGTAAATTTGTTAATTAGTTACATTGAGATC